GTTTGACCTCGTTTGCTCAACTTGGTCGGAGTGACAGTGAGACCTGGCGGAAGTAACCCAGTCCTGCGTACTCTGCACTATCCTGGCCATTATCGCCAATTAATTCGTGATAATTAATTAATAATTTGCAATTAAATGCATTGGAAATTATCCATTATTCTACTATTGGAATAGATATATGTCTCAGTCTGATGGTTTCCCATTTCGTGTGATATGCGAACCCGAAACTCTGACTTCTTAACCCTCGTTTTACCACACGTGCTTGATTAGAAAAGAAGGGTTGAAGCATACCCGATCTTTTAACTTTTTTGGCCATAACGACATCAATAAACGAGGAATTATTGTCCCTTCATAATTTTATGATAAATTTTGTAATTGCGTCTAATTCATGTATAAGCTAATGGCATTCTTTTCATCCATCTTTTCCATGTTGTCAAGCGGCAAATTAGCTCTCGACGCACCTGACTACCAATTTTGGAGATAAGAGTGGTCAAGCGAACAAAAGGAACGAGAGAGTGAAACAGAGAGAGAGAAAGAGAGAGAGAGCAGACGCTCTGTCTAGAGTAGCCGAAAGTGGTCCCGAGGCCCTCTTGGACAGGATCTTGGGAGTCGAGCCTGTCTCGCAACGCCAATTCGAGATGGGCTCGACCGGTCAAGTGGTGCTGGATCCAATCTGCCCACTCGATGGTACCGCTAGGATCTTCATTCGTGATTGGCCAATTGTGTTGGGAAGGCTTTTTGGCGGCTTCTATAAACTGGCCGTTTTGCACCAAAAAGCATGTCCTCCACTTTCCTTCCAGCTGGAAGGACATTAGGCTCGAGTACAGCCGGCCAGGCCTGCAAGAGCGCCTGAAGGCTCGACCACGAGTGGGTCTCATCAACACGCTAGGCCTTGGAGAGTGAAGCATCCGACCCAGAACGCTCCACAAAATCATCTTAGGCTTCACCCTGACGGGACTCGAACTCACAGCCACCGCGTTCAGACAAGACTTCTTTGCCTCACCCTCGTTCCATTCACCACTGGGCCCGGGAGGTTGGTTATTGACGCTGCACACACTTAAGCACACACATACACACACACACATACATAGATACACGTGCTTGATGTTGAAGTGGTCCCTGGCCTCGAAGATCTGCTATACACAAAGACTTTCGTGGGCTGGAAGGGTCGCTCCATTTACTTGACTTATATGAGTTGTCTTTTTTTCCGGTTGGTACAATTTTTGGTTTGTCTCATGGACTTCATTTTTTATTAAGTTTGAAGTAGGAGATCGACGTTAAATTTTGCATTTTGGTTGATTCGTTAATTTTTTATGGCTTTTTATGCTCATGACAATTTTGGTATTTTGTTATGTTATTTCGTGTATGGGAGTAATTCCAGTTCTATTAGTGGCCTCTTAAGTTTTGATTTTTGTACAAAAGTTAACATCGGGCTTCATCTATCCGAGTCAAGTATTGTATGAGCATGTTGTATTTGGATTGCAGATAAAATTAGGGACATTGGTTGGACATTTTTAAAAAAACTTTGTCGGAGCGATAGGAAAATCTTGCGAAACATACCCAATCATGCGCCCTTTGCTCTCGATTAGTCATGACAATTCCCAGAATCAAACAGTAAGCTTTGTAAATTCCCAAACAGTTTGCAGGCACCGTAGTTGATATCGCCAATAAAGACAAACCCTTTTGACCAGTTTTCTATTCAACCGTTGTGGCATATTTCGGGATTTGCAAAGAAAAGTTGACTTTCGACGAATCTCTTGTTGCATCATTGTTGAGCTCACTTCCACTTCATGCGAAAGTGTTCGGTGAGGTGATTTGCAGGTGGATTCCACCAGAAGACGACCACCAGCTGTCGATTGGCCTTACTGAAGCATGCTTGTTGACGCTGTTGCCATCGTAATCTCCTTCGAAACCCGATGAAAAGGTGCTAAGCATTCGTCCGTCGTGTCGCGAACATCGTCAGAGCCGGGAGGGTATCATCGTTGCAACCATATTCCAACAGATTCGTTAAGCTTGACTATGGTTGTAAGGATGACAGCCTCACTGTTCTGACGATGTTCGTCGTACGACGGATTACCATGAGATTACCATGGCAACAGCGTCAACAAGCATGCTCCAGTAAAGCCAATCTACAGCTGGTGGTCGTCGTCTGGTGGAATCCACCTTCAATTTACGTCACCGGACACTTTCACTCGAAATGCAAGTAAACTGGACAATATTGTTGGATTTTCCATACGGACATTTTCACACCCACAGTCCTCTCATCCCCACCTCCGCTCCGTTCATTCTCGTTCTCTGGTGCCTCGTGTATGAATGCCTTGGAAACGACTGGTGTGAAGGTGGACGGCTTCGAGTCTCCACTTCCGAATCAGGCAAAACACCCTCCTCTTGTCTGTCACATGGACAATCCCAACTAATCCTAATGTTTTTGTGTATGTCGGTTGGCAACTACCATTAGCCAAATGTGTTTTTATAATTCGCTTTTCGAGGCTATCAGTAGATCAGTAATATGAGATGTATTCACCCCATTTCAGTAAACTTGATGAAGAATTGGAAATCGAATTTTTGATGGAAAAGTATGACCTGTTCATAGACCAGTCCTTCATCCACTCAAACAAAATAGGGTGGACACAGCTCATAAATGTGTTGTTAGCCAACTCTCACTACAGGCATCCACACAAACACACACACACACACACACACTTGACCCATGTACTGAGAACAAAGTGATATTTTGTCTGAAACTCGGTTTCCACATCCATGTGAAGGTGAAATAAATCTGGATTTTAAACTTTGCAGTCATAATGCTGTGCTCTTTGAACGTCACAGCTTATTTCTGTATCTCACAGTCGATGAGATAGATTCGATTTGAGTGGATAAGAATAGATTGGATTAGATTAGTTTCCATCTGAACTGATTTTGCTTTGTTTCATTCAATTTGTCTTAAACGTGCTTCCATGTCGTTTCTCCGTTGCGTGGTGACTTTGATACAATGTAGTGTGTTGCTAAATCAGATTTGTTAGGGTTTCGCATCAATCTCACCGATCGCGCTGTCATGCAAAGCTGTTTCGCAGCTGTCTGTCGCGAACCCACGATGGCGGAGTTGCTGCCCACTGCGCGTCGGCCCCACTCGACCATCTCCTGCGTGGAGACGGTCACCGAGACCAAATGCAAAACGCCTTAGGCCGGACTGGACACGTTGGTACAGATGAAGGACCCACTGACCCGAGGCGCGGGAGGCTCTCAGAGCCGAATGCCTTTCAGATTCGGTCTCCATCATCTACTTGCGTGGGTGTGTCCTCGCGTCTGCCTGAGGTCGTGTGTCACCATTTGTGTGTATGTGTGTGTGTGTGTGTGTTATTGAGTGTGTGCTTAAGTGTGAGTGAAAATGCATATGCATTTGTATGTGAGTTGGCGAATGATGATGTCTTCTAATGCGTGAATCTAAGTATATGTGTGTGTGTATGTGTGTGTGTGTATGTGTGTGTGTGTGTGTGTGTGTGTGGAATTATGTCTTTACTTTGACATATGGCCCAAGAGGCCCGGCTACTCCGGCACCAGAGACCATAAACCTTCCGAGGACATCTGCCTCCTCCAGTTTCCCACGTGTTTCGGCCATTTCCCCCGGAGCCCGAGAACTCCGTGAGGCGCTTATGCCAAACTTTGTCCAGACTGAAGTCTCGTTTTGTATCAAAGCGACTTTTCTGACAAATATCCTCTACAGTTTGGCTTATATTTTAGGTTCTTGTGTGGTTGTATATATATATATATATATATATAT